GTCAAGACAATGTTTTAAATTATGATAGCATTTAAAATTTACAATCCCTTTCCCCATAAATGTACAAAACACAATGTTAAAATAATCATGAATAATCCTACGTCCAAAAAAATGTAATGACAAGGGAGGGAATCTCCCTCTCTTTCTTGGTCACCTCTGAAAGTAGTTGGAAATATACTCTTGCCATATTTCGAGATACTTGTGTTCTGTTCTATTAGTGAAGATAAACAAACATTCTGTAGGAATGTAACTTCCTATTTAAATACAGAAATGTTATGGAAATATTTTTAGATGAATATTCCTTTAAATCTTTGAAATATCTTTATATTTCCAATGCAAAACATTTTTAATAAAATAATGGTCATTATTTACATCTGATATTCCAGGTCTATTATGCCCTTTAAATCAAAGATTTTCAATAACAAATTTTATTATAAATAAAAATTGTAAAGATCCAATTCTGAAGGATTTTCACTGTCACACTTTAAAGTTGGATTGCCCTCCTACAGAAAGGTAGTGTCATTGAAACTTCCCCCTTTTTGTTAAAGTAAATTGTATTGACTTACCCTTGGTTTACAATGTAGTAAACTTTGCTGGAGTACAGCTCACTACCCTTATAATTGTTCATGCTTCACTGTACCAACCACCTAATTTTCACTTATATTTTACTAGCAAAGTGTCCCCCCCCCATTCACTCTCCCTTCCCCCACTTTCCCTCTAGTAACTACTATATTTTTCTGTCCTTTTTTCGCTTCAGTTTATTTGATCACTTGACATCCCATTACTCATCGATTAGCTCGAGGAGGAGCCAATAATGTCTCCATTCATCCCTGTCATGAGCTAGTGTATCCCAATGGCATCTACTCATTCTAGGAACACGAAGAGCCTCAAACCGATCATTCAGATTCTTGACGAAGAAGTCTGACCATCTCGTAGGTGGGCGGCCATGCGATCTATTGACATCGGGTGGAATCCAGTTGGTAATGGCTCTAGTCCAGCAGTTGTCTCCAAATCACATCACGTGTCCAGCCCATCAGATTTTCGACGCCTTGGGAAATGAGAAAGCGTCTCTGATTCATGATCATCGACGGAGATTGGAACTCCAGATTCTTTCTCTCATTTTGAGTGAAGCATGATACTCCAAGAATAGCTCTTTCTATTCCTCTTTAGGAGACCCAAATAGTGTTCTCATCCTGTTTTCATAGGGCCCAGATCTCTGAGGCATGTATTAGTGCAGAAAGAACAGTGAGAAAAAAAGAGATGTGCCCGGAGCCAGAGGTTTTTCATCCTCTTACCTATCTCTTCAATGCTCTTGAAGGCATTCCAAGCCACTCTCTTCCTCCTGTGCAACTCAGGTGCCAGGTCATTCATCATGTTGACTTCTCAACCTAGGTAAATGTAAGTGTTGCATTCGGAGATGGTCGTTTCATTGAGAGCGAATGGAACGTCAGGAACGAGACCATTTCTCATAAACACTGTCTTCGTGAGATTCAGCTATAGTCCGACCTTTCCACACTCACGGTCAAAGTTGGCCAGCATTTGTGCCTCTTGTTTAATGTTTAACGTTATTAGAACAATGTCTTCAGAGAAGCGTAGGTGGTGTAGTTGCCGACCATCTATCTTCACTCCCATTCCTTCCCATTGCAGTCGTTGCATGATGTTCTTGAGGATGGCACTGAAGAGTTTTGGTGAAATGGTATCACCCTGCCGAACCCCACTCTTGACGTCAATGATCACCTCCCTGTAGAATGGTGAGATCCTGGTAGTGAATCCTTAATACAGCTCATGGAGGATCCTCTGTTTGGCTAGGGCTTCGATGACCATTTCAGTCTCAACAGAATCAAAGGCTTTCTTTAAATCAGTGAATGTTAGAGACAGAACAACATTTTAAACTCCTGAAAAGAAACCTCAATGAGCTTGGTTATCATGTGAATATGGTCGACTGTGCTGAATCCTTTTCGGAACCCAGCTTGCTTGCATGGTTGACCTTCATCTAGTATTCTGCTAATCCTATTCAGGATGACTCAAGTGAACAGCCTATAGATGACAGACAACAGGCAGATCAGGCGATAGTTGCCAATGTCATGGATGTCTCCCTTTTGTACAGTAGTAGAGTCCTGCTGGTTTTCCACTGGGATGGGACCTTGCATTCAGACAGGTAGCATGTGAAGAGCCGAGACAGTGTATTGATGAGTACTGACGGCAGGTTCTTCAAGTGTTCGGGTCTGACCTTGTCTGTCTGGGCCGGGTGCTGTTTGCTTCTTTACCAATGAACTGGCGTGTTAGATTTCGGAAGGGAGAACATTGGGAACAACATATCCATCCTGCAGAATTTGGTATGTGGGCAGGTAGACGTGGCTATAAAAGAGATTCAAGTAGATGTCACGGATAATCTTCTCCATTGCCCTTCTGGAAGATGTGATAGATCTATCAGGAGGTTGGAGGGCAGTCATCTTGGTCTTGTAGTTGGTGAAGGACAGGCAGGCATTGCAAATGCTTTTCCTGGCTTCTGCCGCATCTGCCAGCACTGCTGCTCTTCTCTCTTTGAGGTCTTCCTTTATAGCTTCTCTGCACCACTTTATGAGCTCAAATGTTCGCTTATGGTTGCTTGAGGCTTGCGCAAAGCCACGTTGGCGAATGACCTCAAGTTTTTGAAGATAGGCGTCTTTTTGAGGCTATCTTTCTCTTAGCGTTCCTCACACAATCATGGAGGTGCTGAACCAGTCAATCGTATTCCTCGTCAATATTTCAATGACAGTACCTTCCCATGTTGTTGCAATAGTGCCAAAGAGCTCCCAGTTGGTGGTCATTCTGGGAGTTCTCTTCTTAAACTTTGCAGCCCTTTCTCCCCACTCCGTGAAGTAGAATTTTGCACAAAGGAGACAGTGGTCTGATCCCGTTTGGAATTTTGGGACAACAGTGACACCAGTCACGTAAAATTGTTGATTGAATATGATGTGGTCAATTTCTTTGTGGAACTGTCCACCAAGAGTCTCCCACGTCCAAAGTTTAGATTCGGCCTTTTGGAACTGTGAGTTACCATGGATGGTCTTGGTCGACATGATGAACTCAGACAGTCTCTCACCCTGTTCGCTCCTTTCTAGGCCATAGGTCCCTATGTGGAGTTTCTTCGGCTGACCTTCTCAGTCCTATCTTGGCATTAAAATCACTGACAATGATCTTGCAGAAGGTGTCGTCTACTTTATAGAACTTCTCCACCTCTATTTGGAACTTCTTAATTAATTCTTCATCATAATTTGATGTTGGTGCATAGACAATCAAGATAGAAACTGCCAGCAGTGAGCCACATCTATTCAAGCATAATCATCTGATTCAGGTTGTTAGGCATTCGAATGAATCAATGTTCATGGCCACGTTTGTGTTGACAAGGACACCGATGCAACCGATGCCTCTTTTGTCGCATGTTCCCAGAAACAGTTCTTCAGTGTCGAAAACGGCGTGATGTGATTGATGCCTTCTCGTCTCAGCCAGACCAATGATGTCATACTTGACCTTTCGCACTTGTACCATCAAGTCCTCAATGGATGCATCTGATGCCAGTGCACGTCCATTGAAAGTACAGTCGTTTTTGTCCTTCTTCGTTTTGGCATCTTAGTTCGGCCTTGAGATTTTATCAGCCACTCCTTCCTCATCCTTCTTAACAATGTCATATAAGATTGTAACCATATAGCAATTGTCTTTTACTTCTCAACTTATTTTGCTTAACGCCTAAGCATCAAGTTTCATCGAATCTATCATGAGAGGCTTAATTTTTTTTAACATTTGGATAGCATTCCATTGAGTACATATACCATAAACTCCTATGTCCTCAATGGGTATATACCTTGATTCTATGAAGGATTTTGATAAGGGAAGTTCCCATCTCCTTACTTAAAAATGAATTATTTCTAGAAAGGAAAAGAGAACCATATTTTCTTCAGCCCAATGCAGAGGACGCTTTGAAAAGTATGTAGAAAGCTTAGAATCAGACAAAATGACATGAGGCAATTCTCACAGAGGACTAATATTAGAAATGTTTAACACAGTCACCTTCTTTGTACTTAAATCATATAAAGTGACAGCCCTAGCTGGAGATAAGCATCTCCTTTCACATATAATCTATCAGGTAAATGGTGGTAACTTGCTCTCAGATGAAGAGCAGATTAAAGGGATACTTCCCCACACTATTGTTTTAAGTGGCCGCTGTGTCACAATAAAAGTGGATAAATCAGAACATAAAGAGCACATAAATACTTAAAAATAAGTCATGGTTTTAATGATTAAAAATGCACCAGACTGAGATATTTTGCTGTGGTTACTCACATATGGAAGTGAAAAATGGAACAGAAGCCAACTAATTTTTTGAGAGATACATACTGCCGGTCATTTATAAGAAAAAAATAGATGAGAGTACAACTCAGCAAGTCTCTTCCATCAGAATGGTCTTACTCAGAAATGGGCTTGGAAAGATGCATAGTATACAGTCCATGGAGACAACTCACACACGACTGCATTTGTAGAAGTAGATCTTGGGTTATAGGTTAATGTAGGAACTGAGATAAATGAATGGAGTTGCCACTATAGAAATTTTAATGTGCAGGCTTCTAGTTTGTACATACTGGAGTAGCACTGTAGCACTGTAGCACGGTCCTCCCGTTGTTCATCGCTTTGCTCGAGTGGGCCCAGTAATGTCTCCATCGTGAGACTTGTTGTTACTGTGTTTGGCATACTGAATACGAGAATCTAACAAAACTTAACTAATAAATAAGGTGGTAAGAAGAAAAGGTAAAGGTAAAGGTAAAGGCCCTCCCGTTGATCGTCGATTTGCTCGAGCGGGCCCAGTAACGTCTGCATTGGAGACTTTGTTGTTACTGTGTCTGGCATATCGAATACTCTCGGTAGCTTGCCGGGCTCTCCGAGAGGGGTGGAGGAATCGAACTCGGGTCGGCCATGTTGGCCGCGTGTAAGGCGAACGCCCTACCCGCTGTGCTATCGCTCCAGCCCTGAAAGGAGAGAAGGTTAGCACTCCCCTTGACAAGGATGGAAGAGGCTTCGGCCTGCAACACGCATACGGTAAGAAGAAAATGAGGAGAAAATGAAATATTATAAGCCAAGATGTGATTTAGAAAAGACAAATGACATTATGAAATGATTGTCAAAGGCTGAATAAGGTGAGAAACGACCTCTATATCAGAGTATGCATAGAGTCTAAAGAGCAAGAAGAGTAAAGAAATAGCACACATCTATATGTGGGTCCAAGTACTCTCAAGGGAGCAGTATGTGGCAAGTATTTTAAAGAACTGGCTTAAAAAAGGAAGAGGAAGATACATAAGTGCTTGGGTGCTGGATGCATTGTTTGTGTAGTAGTCAAGTTGTGCATGGATATAAAGACTGCATGCTTGCTCACATGTGACACGTACAATCAACGTCAATTGTAAAGCTAGAAGTGTGTCAATACACATTTTCAGATTAAAAAGAAAAAGTACAATGAGGTTGCAAGGTCTGCTCTTTGAACATGCTCCAATTATAGACTGGAATGGGTTTACCCAAATCTTCTCTTTGGCAAATTCGTAACCTTAAGGCTCAGACCTGGAGTCTTACTGGCCCTTTGTTCTCCTGATACATTAGATCGTCTTTTTTGTTTCTGATTACAGTCTACCACATTACCCCTCCAATTTTAATAGATAAAATGTTAATCCAGGGAAGCTGCAATATGTCTTAATTTTAAATTGGGAAAAAAGAGAAAGTGCTCAAATAAATCGGATTAGAAATCAAAGGGGAGAAATTACAACACAATCAGCAGAAATCCAAGAAATCATGAGAACTTGCTGTGAACAACTCAAGTATGTTAAGTTGGAGAATCTAGAATAAATGGATAGACTCCTAGAAACATGTAATCTCCTAAAACTGAAAGAAGAGGAAGTAGAAATTCTGAACAGGCCAATCAAAAGCAAGGAAATTGAAACAGTAATTAAGAATCTCCCCAGGAATAAAAGTCCGAGTCCAATTGGATTTATGAGTGAGTTTTCTCAAACTGTCGGAAAAGACTTATTGCACTAATCATTAATTTTAAAAATGGAACAGAATTGTAGGGATTATCTGCTCCAACATTCTAATTACCTGAACAAGAACAAACTGAGAAAGGTGAATAAGCTGAGTTATTTGTGTAGCATTCAAGTTGTGCATGGCTATAAAGTTGTCTGATCTCCAAAGTGTGTATGTGTGCTGGAGTATGTGTGTGTATGGGGGGGGGGGGTGGTGAGAGGAGGACGGTGCGGGTGGGGTGGGAGTATGTGATGCAGGTTTTCATTCTCCAACAAGGTCTCTTTCCTCTAAACGATGTGTTAATGCTGCAAATTTGTTTTTATTTTTTATTCAAGGTCATTTAAGAGTATAGGACAAAAACCTAATAAAACCCGATGTTCTGATCTCAGATAACTTTAGAAAGTATCACATTCCCAATATGATTTTCCCTTATAATTAGTCAAGCAAGCAGAAATAGGAGAGTGGGTAGAGTGTGTGCCTTGCATTTGGCCAGCTAGGGTTTGATGCTTGGTAGCCTATATGATCACCTGAGTCCTGCCAGGAGTGATTCATGAGCACAGATCCAGAAATAAGCCCTGAAAACCACTTTTTGTGCACCCCCAAATTAATAAATATCAGATATGTAATTACATATTTTATTTTCTAGATTTCCCTTTCCTATTTTTGACGTATTTTTAATGTGTTATAGAGAAAGCAAATGATCAACAGAAATGTACCAAATGGGTACATTTTCCTGTACCTAGTATTTACCATTTACATATGTATATACACTATTCTTCAGCTACATTAAAATCTATCGGCACAGGAAAGTGAGATAAAGTTAGAAAAGAGATAACCAAAATTAAATGATTTTCAATAGATAAATAACTGTAGTCTATCGATACAAAGGAATATTTTCAATTTAAAGAGATATAAATCAGGGCCAGATTGCAGTACAGTGGGAAGGGTATTTGCCTTGGATGTGGCAGATCCAGCTTCAATCCCCAGCACCACATATGGTTCCCCAAGCCTGCCAAAAATAATCCCTGAGTGCAGAGCTGGGAACCCAGAGTATTGTAGGATGTAGCCTCAAAACAAAAACAAAACAGAGATAAATCATTGATATGTGCAACCACATGATGTCTTAAAAATGTCATGCTGGGTATAAATAAAATGTCAGCAGTAAAGGATCACATACTATATGATTACGATTATATGAAAATTCTGAAAGGCAAAACTCTACTGCCAAAAGGAGTTATGTGTGGTTCTTGCAGGAGGAAGGAGTAAAGTAGCACTGAAGGGGTTCTTCGGGGTGATTTAACTCCTCTGGGCAGTAATAGTGGTGGGAGTTGTTACAAATTCTACAAAAGTGTCAAAATTCACAGAACTGAAAAACCAGACATTCATAAAATTTGCTAGGATTTTTTTTAAATATTATAAATGTTTAAAAGAAGTAAATTTTATATATTGATTACTGAGGCATATGGTCGTATATAAAGTCAGTCTCTCCTACCCAGAAGTTCAATGGACAAGCGACAGTACTATTGGCGAAAGGACACTATGCCTCTATACTCTGAGTTGACTACCATCAGTTGAAAAAAAGGTGAATTACAATTAGCTACACAAATTCAGTAAATTTAAAATCTACTCTCTCAGGGTAGCAAACTAGACACAAGTTATAAACCTTGGGTTGACCCCTTGGCATTGCATGATCAACCTGAGCACCATTGAGTATGCCTCTGTAGGCCTCAAGAACTGTGGTGAGTACCCAACATTGACCAAAAATAAAGGTGAAGACAAGGGTCACTGTAAATTATTAGTCATTACTACTCATGAATAAAAAAAACACAAGTGTTTAAATTTTAAATGAATCATCATGGGCTTCAACAGAAAGGTAATGACTATTAAATGAATTATTATGTTTGATAAAACCAGAGTATGCAGCTTAACCGTGCCACTGAAGCTCAAATTTGGATATATTTTGATGAAAATTTCTTTAAAGATTTTAAAAGTACATTAATTTTATTGTGGAAAATATAAAAGACAAAATCTGCCATTTTAGCCATTTTAGGTATATTAATATGTCATAATTCTCTACTTATATATATATTTCATATTTTTAAGTTATAATCTTTAAGTTCCACCCATAATGTTGTAATGCTGTTTATGTCATAGTCTCATTCCTTTTAAAGGATAAATATTTTATTACATACATGCAAGCACATATACACATATGAACATATATATGATATATATAATATTGTACTTATTCATTCATAAATCAGTGAGCATTTAAGTGGTTTCCCCCTTTTGACGATCAACTGCAGGTCCCTTTTAACATTATTCTTATCCAATGTATTAATTACCCTAGAAAAAATGAAAACAAGACATCTTTTGAAACCCTAAAGCTGTATAAGAGAGTTCATCCACAACAGCCAGGGTTAAAGAAGAATTATGCTTTAATTTGGCAAGCTAAGTTTATAACTTCTAATTAGTTGTCTTGTAAATAATAAGTCTGCGTATCAAAAAATTGTCCAAGTTTGATCATTAGTTTAATGTATATGTGTGTCATGTCTGTATGATGATTCATGGCCGGTCATTTAAAATGCACAATATTAAAGACTTCTAAATTGTCAGGTTAGAAGTTTAGTCATGATCCAGAAAAATAGTGTTTCATGTGAAGCAACATACTTAAATTGACTTAACTAAATGGAAAATTCTGAGCTGAAACAAGAGTTTGTTCCTTGTGAAGGTATATCATGAAGTCAGATTTTATATCTGATTTATGATAGTAGAATATCTGGCAGTGGGGGAAATATATTGGCATTATTTTTCAACTTTATCATTATTTTAACATGCAACCAATATTAGCAACTTTTAATTCAGAGGATAAAATTTTTATTTAAAAAAAAACAACTAAGTAACCAAGGATAAATGTGAAAAGGCATTTAGGGTATAGAGCATTCAGTGATGAAGGGAAAGATATATTTTGAAAATGGAAAAGAACTACTCAAGCATGAAACAATTAAGGAGGCTTTTAGAGTTAGTAAAAGAGGCATGAATCATAATTATGTTATTACATTCAACATTCAGATTCTATAGCGACAGAAAACCTAAACTAGAACATAAACCATGGAAACAGAAAAAGTCGTAAGGTAAGAGTAAGAAAAATAGGTAAATATTTAGAGGGGTGGCAGAGTAGCTTTGGAGATATCAAATTTCTTGTATATGGGTTTTGTTTCAATTGAGGTTGTTACAATGTGAAGAAATTTATTATATACAAGTATTTCATAAACGAAAGTAAAATTTGAATACAGTCATTGATCTACCTTATTTACTCATACCTGAAATAACAAAATGTATGTTTGAACTAGTCCCTTACAATAAAATTAATAATGAACCACAAATCTCTTCCCCAATCACTCTAGTGGGGCTAAAGCACTGCTTAAACCTTAAAAAATATATACAAAGTTTAACCTCAGGATCAGTCTTCAAATATAAAAAATTGATTAGATAAAAAAAATCACTTTACTATTTTTTTTTTGCTTTTTGGGTCACACCCAGCAACGCTCAGGGGTTACTCCTGGTTCTGCACTCAGGAATTACCCCTGGCAGTGCTTGGGGGACGATATGGGATGCTGGGAATCGAACCCAGGTTGGACGCGTGCAAGGCAAACGCCCTCCCTGCTGTGCTATTGTTCCAGCCCCACTTCACTAAATTTGAGGTGAAACATTTTTTACTATAAGCTATGTCATCTTTAAAACTAATTGGTTAAAAACAGAAAAGACATCCCTGGAACACCTTTCCTTTTGTCTGTTTCCTTCTTGACATTCTATAAGATAAATCAAATGAAAGAGAAATGAACAATAAAACCCAGAAATAATTATATAATGTATATATTACACTCCCCACCCCAAGGGACCCAGTCCAGGCAGCTGACCTCCACTACCCAACTGCCACCACGCTCCAGGCTGCTTTCCGGAAGCTCGGCCAAGACTCACGAAGGAATGAAGTCCCACGGAACCCAGTTAAGGCGGAACTTTGTGGCCTTAAACTCTGGGCTCAATGGGACCCAGAAACAGAGATCCTTTGGCTGC